GTCTAAGTGCTGGCGGGTGTTTCCCCCTGAATGCAGTCCAGGCTTCTAAACCAAACCAAACTCACACTCCACAGCCTCCCTGCACTCTGGTGATAGACTCCACGATGGCTCTGTGACATACTCACCTTGGATACCCGTCTCTTCCTTGCTTTCCAATGCAGTTTCTCCAGCAGGAAGCCTTCTAGTCATGCTAGCTCACGCCTGCCTTTCTACTTGCACTGCACTGCCACGAGCCACCGCGTCAGCTTGTCTGTACCTTAGCAGTACAGGCTCTGTTCTGTTTGGGGTTCCCTGGCTGCCCCGCCTTCAAACCTGTCCTTCTACAGCGCCTCCTTGCTCACAGCCTGACCTCCAAGGCCCCCTGACAATGCCTGAGTTTCATTCTGTTCCCCATCACTCCTGCCCACCCTGCTCATGCCTTCTGCTTGCACACGAGGCTGGGAGTCGCTGCCTTTTCACTGGGATCAGAGCAGAAGGTGGACTCCCGGTGCCAGTGAGAGGAAGCTGCCTTGGGAGTTTTCTTCAGAGCTGGCCCCACTGAGGCCCCAGCCACTCAGTACCCACGGACTGCTTACTTGCCTCTCCTTGCAGCTCTTGTGCCTCTCTCTGCTAGCTAGGGCTGTGACCTCCAGCATGTCATTCCCAGGCCTAGTAGAGTATGTGACACATACTGCATCCTCGGGAATGCTTATCCGAGGAATGTGGGGCAGAAAGTTCCAGGCTGCATTCTCTTTTTCTCTGCAGGAAAAACCCAACTGCACCGGAAGGAATGGACAGGCTGTGTGTGCTCTGGCCAGTAGGTGGCAATAGCGGTCACCATGTGTGAGCACGCTCCCCCTCAGGTGGGCAGGCTTACCTGGAGTGTTGTACCTTCAGGGAGGTACCTTCCTCCCACAACTGTGGGAGGCTGTTATCTTGGCTTCTTGAATTCTCTGGAGAGAGACTCAGTATACAGCTTCAATTTTCTTTCCGTCTTCAAGGCCCCTCTGCCAAACATGTATTCTTCATAGTTGGCCTGGGAGTTGCTACTCATGTCTAGGAAAAGCTCTCCTTGGGGAGAAATGAAGAGGCTGCCTTTGCGCACAGCTGGAACTGGAGCTGTGACAGGAAGATAATAAAACTGGTGGTATGGTCTTGGACCCTCCTCTCTCTCCCCAGGAGGTGGGTAGCTGTCAGAACCCACAGATCAGGGCTTGAATACCTTGGGCTCTGGCTCTGGAGACTGGGGCAAGTCCTTTTCTTTTCCAGAGCTTCAGTTTTCCCACCTGTGAAGCCTGGGTGCTCCTGGGTCTGGGGGCTCCTGCTCTGATGGCTCAGGATGGGTGGAAGGAGGGGCAACATGGAGCAGGAAAGGGTCTCTGTCAGTATGAGGGTCGCAGTGGCACCTGCAGGAATTAATACTCTCTGAAGAAATCTTAATTGCCGTGTCTTTGGAAGGGAAGCAATGGAACTGTTATTTCATCTGGACAGTGAGTGAGGAGGGGCTGGGTCAAAGTGAAGCGCGATCATATACCCACTCAGTGTGCTCTCACACCTTTGTCATCTTCTCGCTCAGGAGAAGCCTGGGGGGACTTCCAGCAGGGTTTCTCTGCACTGTGCAAGCAGCAGTTTCAAGCTACTTGCAGGGAACCAGCTGTGCTGTGCTCCTGGAGTAAAGCCTGGGGGAGGAGCTGCCCGCTCAGGTGACACGGACAGGAAACGCACACCCCGGTAGCAACAGGGAGAATGCAGAGTGGGTTTCAGGGCACCCCTTCTGTGTGTGATTCCCTGACCCCCATTCCATCAAGGAGCTCTGGAAATAAAGACAGGGGTGTGTGGCTTCAACGCAAAGAGCCAGCAGCAACCCTGTCTATTGGGGAGGGGCTTAGAGCTGCCATCTCACTGCGCTGGAAGGGGAGAGACACTTTGTCCATAATATGTGGACCTTATTTTGAAGGAGGCAAGAAACTTTCTTGGCCACTCCTGAGTCAGCCAAGGAATGCGACCACGGCTTGGAGCTGGGTTGGTTTGAGGCTAACTCAGGGTGAACCCAGAGAATTGGTCGCAGCCTTGAAGAGGCGAAGCCAGGTGAAGAGGGGAAGAGCTGGTACTGGCTGTCGTTGGCTTTCCCCAGGAAATCTAGAGCAGAAGTTAGGGGCTCAAAAGCCACTAACTGAGGTGTGATGGCAGGGGAGAGATGCAGATGAGAAGTTTGTGTCCTAGGGAGACGCTGAAAGCAGTGGAAAGCTTAATGCCTTCATCAGCGGAAGTGAGACCCTAGACAGCTTGCCTTAGTGCCCTTACACCCACCAACCCCTTAAGCCTCAGGATGATAACCCTATTTTATAGTTAAACTCCTGTGCTCCGAGTGGTTGCATTGTCAAGTCCCATCATTAACTTGTGGCAGTCTTGGCATTTGCGAATACCTAGCCTCGTGGCATACTTGCTTTCCCGTGTTCTTGGCGGCTAGACCCAACAGGAAGGCCCCTCATGGAAATTACAGTTGGAGTATTGAGGATGGGAACAAGAAGGGACAAGGGGAGGGGCTAGCAGTGCTGGGGGTGGGGCCGACGTGGTAAGATGTGAGGGGAAAGAGGACAGTGCCCTGCTCTGTGAGAACAGCATGTGCAAAGGTCCTGGGACAGGGCAGGGCATAGCCTTCTCAGGTCCTGCAGGGAAGTGTAGACAGCCGAGGGCTGGGATGTGGGCAAGGACAGAACCAGCTGAAACTGGAGATTGGGAAGAGACAGCACCTGGAGACTGGTGCAGAAAGCTTGAAGAAGACAAATAGGACAACTGCATGGAAGGAGCACCTGGGGACGAGGGGGAAGGCAGAGGTATGTTCTAGGGAAAGGCTAGCATCCAGAATCACAGGGCCCAGCTCTGGGCCACCATGATTCCTTGGTTGAGGCACCCATGTTTTAGGGGACCTGTTTCTTCATGGCACAAAGAAATATCCCAGCCAGGCCCTGAAACCTCCTATGATGTTTGCATGGATGAAGAGATCAAGGCTCTGAGGCTTGGTGTTACCACCCTGTCAGGGAATGCAGCCAGCTGTAGATGCTTTTCTCAAAGGACCTACCCTGTCTGCATAGACACCACCCGATCCTTTCACACACTAATGGAATTCCATGTAGCTCTACGCCAGGAAGTGACAGGCACACAGAGGCAGTCTAGAAAGTGTGGACATAGCTTTACAGATGGGCTTCATCTCTGCCTTCGACCCCATTGCATGGCAGCAGTTTTGAATTACACTCAAGGCGCCTCTTGAGTCATGCAGTAGTGTCATTTTATCCATCCCTGAGTACCGCCATTTATCCATTCCCATCATGAAGGCATGGGTTCTCCTAAGGCAGGATGCTTAGTTAACGGAAATCCTGTAGTCTAACCTGAGTGCAACCTGCTGAGCCTTCTTCATTGGGGGGAGGGGTATCGGAAGGGGCTTCCCCTCACACTTCTTCAGCCTGCCCACTCACACTTCGGGGCAGTTCTCACTCTCTGTGTGGCATGGGTGGGCACAGGTATGGGAAGACTCCTAGTACTCTGTATATGCCATCTTCCCAGCACCATGTGCAGCCCCTGCCAGGTGTCCAGGAACGTCCCCCATCAGGCATGCTGCATGGAATCCCCCAAACCAGCTTTTCTGTAGCCTAGGGGCCTTCAACAAGCAGCAGCCATTCCAAAAGGAGGTACTAGCTCTACCTCCGGCTGTGGATCTGGGATCCGGGAGCCATGCTGTGGAGCATTGCAGCTCCGATGGGACAGGGAGGGGAGGAAGAAGTTGATGGTAGACTGGGAATTTCCTGTCTCCCCCAGGTATGCCTGTGGGAAACCCTGGAAAGCCTAAGACAGATCTCTTCTCCTCTCCCCAAACGCACACTCACAGGATCACTTCCTGTGTCAGGTCCTGAACTTGATTCCTGTGTCTGAGTCTACAGAATGGGAGGGAAAGGAAGAGCAAGGTGCTGCCGCAGAGGGTGGAGCAAGCTGGACGGGTGGGCTGGGCTGGGTTAGCCTGACACTTCACTGGGGGACTGAGCTCCTGAGGGCTTAGCAGCAGGGGTGTTAGAGATTTAGGATGAAGCCCAAGGGATGAGGGGGCACCATGATTCCAAGCCTCCCTGCCACTCCCTACAGGGTCCCCACTCAATTGTGGAAACCCTTCCTTGTTCTAGAGGAAGAAAGCAAGATTTGGGGCAAGCAGGGCTGCAGGATACACACCTTTTGCGGATAGCTTTTCCTCTTCTGCATCCTTCTTCCCCTACCTGTGGGAAGACCCCGCGCCCTGCCGTGACTCCACCCTCCGGAGCCGTGGTGCAGTGCCCCCCGGACCACCCGCCCTCCTTTCCTCCCTTTGGTGTCTGCCTTCTGTTCCTCCTCCCTTTCTTTTCTCTCTGACTCGGGAAAACCTTAATCAGTGTCCCTGAAGAACGTCACTCCTCTCCCCTCTCCCCTGCGGCTCCCGGCTCCCGGTTCCCGCCGGCGGAGGTACCCCCTCCCCTCCCCCAGCCACTCTTGAGCAAAGAGCAGCTCGGAAAAGCTTGCGTGGCGGGGCGGGTGGGGGAGTGTCGTAGGAGGGCACTGCGCGGGCGGCGGGGGATTCTCCGCAGAGCCAGGGGGAGCCCCAAGCGGTTCCTGGGTCTCAGCTGCCCCGCCTGCAACTTCTAACCGTCCGCATGCGGTCAAGCCCTCTGCCCGGCGATTCCAGGCAGCGCCATCGGGGGCAGCCCCTCCTCTCTCCTCTGCACCCTCAGCGGGCTGTCCTGGCTGAAGAAGGGGGCGTGGGGTGCCGGGCCAGGTCCCTGCTTCCCGGGATCCGGGATCCGGATCGGGGATCGCCTCAGAGGGGCCGCACGCGCGTGTGCAAGCGGATGTGAGGAGCATCTCAATTGGCGGGCGGGGGAAGCGGATCAGGTTGTTACTACTGCAGAGCGCGCAAGCGGGCGAGCGAGCGAGCGAGGGAGCGGGAGAAGAGCCGCAGCGCTGGCCGGTGCGGGAGTGGGAAGAGGGGACTGGACTTCAGCGGCAGACTCCCGCTGCCTTCTCCACCAGCCCACGCTGACCGGCTCCCAGGACGTCCTCCGGTAAGAGCGAGCGCAGGCAGGAGCCACCGTGCGAGGGCACCCCATGCCCTGCAGTCCCAAGTGAGGCCACACCCAGGACAGCAGCAGCTTCCCAGGGCCTGGTGCTGGACCCTGGGGTAGCTGGGTCACCAAGTGAGACCGTGACTTTCTGGGCTTGGCACTTGCTGAGGTTTAAACTAAGCGCAGGACCAGCCCCTGGTGAGGTCTGGCTCCGGAAATCCACTAGTTTGTCCCGGGGGAGATGTCCTCAATATCCCAGGAACCCCTCTACCTCGACCTATTCTAGCGCTGCGCCTAGGATAGCACATCCTGGGACAGGGAGCTAGCTAGGGAGCTGGGGCACTCACAGCTTCAGAAACCTTGGGAAGAGGCGCCCCGGGGGGCGGATGGAGTGGGTGTGCGGTGAGACGCGAGGGCAGGGCGCGGGGGACTCTGCTCGCCCCCGCCGCAGTGAGGATGAGTTGGAGGAACCCACGTGCGCGGAGCTCTGGAGCCCCCTGGCGCAGAGTGGAGCGCAGTGGCGGTGCTGGCACTCTGCAGGATGCAGGACTCGCTGTCCTTTGCACCCCTCATCAGACCAGAATCTGGTCGGTCGTGTTCGCTGCCCGTTCTCTCCCCAGAACTTTTTCATCCTCCAACCAGTGCCATGGCTTTGTGCATCGGAGGAATCAGGGTTCTCAAGGATCCTGGCAAGCAGCCACGGACCCAGGAGGGGCGCCGGGAGAATGGGAGAGTGAGCAGGAGTGCTCTTCTGGGATTGCTGTGTGACCTTGGGCAAATGTGTACCCCAGGGAGTCTCAGTGTGATGCACACGGGAATGGGAATGATGTAGGGGAGAGAGAGGAAGGCGTTCCGGTGAATGAACCCATGGGTATGCCTGCCAAGCTGGCTGGGAATTCTCTGCCTTTCATTCTTGGCCTCTGCAGAGAGCCCTGTGCACACTTAGGAGGGAGGAGGGTGTCGATGTGGAACTCTGAACCCAGAACCCCAGTGGGGTTCAGAAAGCTTTCATTCCGACCTGTTTGCTGACCTTGAGGAGCTCATTTACCTCTCTGGGCCTTCGTCTCTTGATCTAGAAATGGGGCTTTGGGACATAGGGGATTTTAGGGTCTGAGGTCTCCCTGAGCCTGACACCTGCTGTCCCAATGGAAGGGGAAGAGGAGGCAGGGTACAGAGGACTAGACTCCAGGTATGTAGTTCTTTAACCCTCCAAGTGGATTGAGGCCTACAGGCTGGTCCTCTATCACTGCTCCTCCCAGAGTCTGGGATGGAGGCAGGCCAGTGTCAGCCCAGAACTGCTTAGCCTCTGCACAGGGCATAAGCTGGAGTAGATAGGAGAGTCAGAGGCCTCTCAAGGTCACGCAGTCCGGCCACCTCCAGAATCCTCCCTGCCTGGAAAGATCTCCAGTGTGAACTATACCAGCCCGTTGCACAGCCTGCACAGCCTGCACTGCCTGCGTGACATCTCATTGAGGTCCTCCTTGGGGAGAACCTGTTGGGACTTCATTTGAGATGAGTCTCTAGCCTGGCACCAGGTCTCAGGCACTGAAGGAAGACCCCCGGCTGAAGACAAGAGAGTCAGGCTGACTTTACAGGCTCTGCTTCCCATCTGTGTGCTCCTAGGTGACCTTGGGCAATCCCCTCTCTTGTCTTCCTGACCTGTATATGAAGAAGGTCAAGCTGGAGAATGCCCCAGAACCCATCCTTCTCTGAAGACTTGTGGCTGGAGGTCAGGGATGGTTCCTAAGTACCAGGAGGGTATTCGATGGGTGCAGATGGCCCTGGGACTGCCAGTGCGTGGCCTCTCCCATGCTTCTATCCCGAGATGTCTTGAGACATGCTCCGAGAAGTAGAAGCCTTTCCCAGGATCCACACAGCCCTGGAGTACCACCCCAGGAGCCCCCATTGTGCTGGTTACTTGCCAGTGACCTTGAGTGAGTGCCTTTATATCTCTGAGCTTCAGTGACTTCATTGTCAAAACATAGTGATAAAGGCAGTGGTGTTCTAGTGTTCCTGTGGAGATTAAAGACGAAACACGGGAAGAGCTTAATATGGCGTGGATCCCGGAAGAGCCGGAAGAGCCACGCCATTATTCATAGCATCACTCACAGCTCTTGGCAAATTGGCAGTGGGGCAGCGGGGAGGAGTGGCCATCGGGGGCAGAAGGAGGGCTTGGGACTTGCAATATCCTCAACCCCAAGGGGCCCAAAGCTTCCCTGAGGTGTGGAAGCAGCTACTGCCTCTGTCCCTGTCCCTCTGGCCACCATATGCTGTCTAGTAGGAACATCATAGGGAGGAGATACTGACTGGCTTTCTTACACTCTCACACCTAAGTTTCCTCAGTTCTGCCTTCCTCGTCTGCTGCCACTTCTGGTCCCTTCTGTGGTTATGACAAAATGGCCTTCAGCCTTCACCCAGGAACAAACCAACCAGATGACTAGAGAGGGATGAGGCTGGATGTCTTTGAAGTATGTGGCCAGTAGCAGAGCAAAGAGACCAGCTGAACCTCAGGGGGACTCTTGGGATCCTGGGACTGCACCAGACCATGTGTGCTGGTGTGATGGAGAGGGGAGGAGGGTCAGGGTTTATCAAGACCTGCTGTGTGAGCTCAGGTCAATTAACATCCTCTCTGGCTCTCCGCCTCCGTGAGGTGGAAGGCCAGCCTAGAAGGATCGCTGCTGGCCCTGTTGGCTGTTGGGAAATTTACTATGATCATTCAGGCATCAGTTGTTCACTGTCCCTTGGTGTCCATCTCATGACTCAGCCTGTCTGGGAGAGGTAATGACAATGCCCAAAAGGAGCCCCGAGGGTTAAGAGCAGAGGTTCCTGTCTTGGTACATTCCTTAGTAACTGTAAATTCAGGCCAGTTCTTTTACGTCTCTGAGTCTCATTTGTCTAATCTGTGAAATGGACATCATGTTCCTTGCCTTTTAGAGTTCTTAAGAAGATCACATGGGGGTAATTTATGGAAAACTCTTGGAATCTGAGGTGTTCCTGGTGTGATTGTGGGTGCTGCCTGGGTTTCTCTGGCAGCTGCCGCCATGCACAGGCATCCAAGAGAGTGCTGTGTTTCCTGTGTTGTCCTCCTGCTCTGCATTCTGGAGGGTGCATGCGCTGGTCACATGGCCTGGCATGTAGTGGGGGTGCGGCGGGAAGCTCAGCCATGGGGTGGCCGTCTTAATGAAGCTGTCAGTGAGGGGAGCAGAGGCAGAGAAGCAGGTGTGGTAGCCTCCCATTCTAAGCTCCCTGTGAGGAAAGGCTGAGAAGTGAGGCCTTTGAGGAAATGCAGACAGAGCCAGGACATTGCAGCCTGCTGGGGGTTATTGGGTAAGGGGACCTCAGAACAGAGGTGTCCAGATGGGCCTTGGAGCCGTCTCCATTTATTCCCTTAATCCTGATTGTAGGGGGACAGACTCAGAGTATCACACAGAGGGTAGAAACAGGATGGCGCTGAGTCAGCACTTTGGGGCTCTCAATCTGATGCTTTTCCATCTTCCTCGCTGAACATAAGACAGCTGCTTTCCACTTCTAGGATCAGAGCACAAGGTAGAGTGCTCTGATGGCAGGAAGTAGGGACCTCCTCACCCAGACACTGGGTTCTCCCAGTCTTACCGCCCCATTTTGCTGATGAGAACGTTGAGTCCTTAGACAAATACAGAGCTAGCACAAAGTTCCTCCGTGTCAGGCTATAGCTCTGTAGCCACCTCAGCCACCCTGTCCCTCTCCTCTCAACCCTGATCATGAGAACAAACCCACATAGGCTTGGAAGTAGGGAGCGGAGGTGCCCACAGGTTGGGGAGAAAGCAAAGGCTAAAGGACAGACATCTGATTCCAAGACAGGCTTTGCTTTTTTGACCCATCTGGGATGGCTGCTGCTCTGGGCTGACAGGCTGACAGCCTGCCCTGCCTCCCGAGGAAAGAGACAGCAGCCAGCGCTTTGCTCAGTTCCACTGGCCAGCCGAGTGAAAGAAAGTCAATATTTGCCCAGCGGCGAAGGACGGTAGGACTTGGGCTGGGACGGGGAGTGTGGAGCTGGGGACTGAGCAACTCTGAGCTCCCCGTGGTGAAGAGCCTTTTGTGTGTCTGATGAATCCTGAGATGGCCTGGTCGGGCCCACACGTCCTCCCAGCAGCCCTCTCCCCTAACATATTCCCTTTATTATAAGCTGATGCCTCCCCAGCTTCTAGCCCCCTAGAGAGATGGGATTTGAGGCTTTTTGTGGAAAGGCCTGCCAGCAGATGGCCAGATGAGCTGCCTGCAGAGGGCACAGAAAGGCAGGCTTCCTCACCTGAGCCCCAAGCCCAGGGACAGATGTGCAGGCCTTGGCAGGTCAGGAGAGGCAGAGAATGGCTTCTTTTTTGCCTTTGTCATGCCACCTCTGCATTTTCCCCATCTGTCCTGAAGTTAGAGAGGGGCCAGGGGAGGATAGGTCTTGCCACCTCCCTCTGCTGAAATGACATTCTTGGACCCATGGCACCTACCAACTTTTGATTTGTGTGGCTCATAGGATAATGCCCTAGAACTTAACATGGGTGTGTTTGGAGGCAGATGTGTTTTCTGTGTGCTAACAGGGTTAGACTCCAGCAGGAAGGGCTTGTGTGAGGTAGAAGGAAGGCAATGGTTGCGGAATCACTAGTGGTTAGTGAATCTGCCAGTTGGGCACCCACAGGAGGCCATCTACTGAGCTTGCTTAGTTCATTAGGAGCAGTCAGCGTTGTCACCTGACCCTGGAAGGGACGGCCACCAGCTCAGGCCAGAAAGACCAAGAAGCCATCAAGAGGAGTGTCTCTCTGGTTGAGGCTGCTAGCTTCAAGCCTGCCTTCAGCTCGGACTTCAGAGTAGATGGCTGCCAGGGACAGATTGCAGCCTGGCCCCTGGCCCTCCCTCCAGCATGGGGCTCCTAGCGCTAGCATCCTTCCTTCCTTCCTTCCTTCCTTCCTTCCTTCCTTCCTTCCTTCCTTCCTTCCTTCCT